AACTAAAATATATTTATCAATTGTCCCAACAGGTGATAGTGTCCAATTTTAAACAGTCCCAACAATTTACAAGCAACTGATGCCTGAAGAACACTGTGAAACCACATAAAGGGCAAGAGATAACAGATCAGAATATTTTTTATGTTAGCTCTGATAATCTTTTTGTATTTTTACATCATATCACATTACACTACTACAAAATTGCAAATAATATAGAAAATGAGATTACTGTTGATAATTGTCTTTTATTTATCTTTCAGATGACAACATATGCTGCAGATATATTAGCATAAAAAGCTGAAATATTTAAAAACAATAAACAGAGAGTGTTTATGCATTTTTAGAATGATTTCAGGGCCATTTAATTAATAAATGTAAAGTTTAAAATGTAAAGAGTATTTTTTTAAATGTTTGACCTCACAGTCTTTCTTCTGGACTATATTTACATTGTGATTTCCATGATAGAAGGGCTTTTCGTAAAATTTCCAGGGGTATTGATTGCCATACCTCTTCCAATATTTTTCAGAGTCCATCAGTCCTGGTGGGTTTTTGTTTAAAAAGAGCTCTTTTCTCTTTCAAAGGCATGAGGGTCTATAGGTGACTTCATAAGAGTATGTTGAAAAGGTATATATGCAATACCTTGTATCAGCCTTCATTTTTTCAAAGAATGCAATGGTACTTTTCGAAGTATGACTAAATGCTTTGTCTTGATCAAGTTTCACTCTTTGGCTGGGATAAAGAAATGGAATTTCTTCTGTAAATATTGGGTGTAAAACTTTCTCTGTATACTATGTTGAGTTGATTTTGACGTTTTCCCCCTCTCTTTTTAATTGCCCATTGTTATGACAATCAAAAACCCATTACTAAAACTTTCTTTGCATTCGTGGAACCAAGTTTGTACATTTTTTTCTCTCTTTCTTTTTAAATATGCTAAAATAGTTTTCATATAGGGTTCGACAAATTGTTCTGCTTTAAGCCAAATGCCTCAGCAGAAGCTGGTGAACATTATGTTTTTTAGGTTGTAAATCTTGGTTTATTATTTTATTTATTGTTGCTACAGAATTTATTACTACTACTAGCAGCAAGCCCGCTATTCATTGGGAGGGATTCGAAAGTTGGACCGAACTACCGGTGAAGCCCGCTTTCATTCGTGGGATTCGAAAGTTGGACCGAACTACCAGTGTTCAGAGATTTTGGCCGGGCTGCACCCGCTGTATTCATACATGCATACATGTTACACATGCAGATGTTCAGCAGTTTTGCGTGGGCTGCGCCCGATTTATTCACGTATGCATCTAGAAGATACTGCATGCACGATACACCTGCATAAAATCACGAAAACACCCATCGAGCCAGCCCATTCGCCGGAATTCGAAAGTTGGACCGAACTACCAGTGTTCAGAGGTTTTGCGCTGGCTGTGCCTTCTTTATTTAGATATGTATCCAGAGCATACTGCATGCACGTTACACGTGCGGAAAATCACAAAAACACACATGAAGCTAGCCTGTTCGCCGGTATTCAAAATTCGACCGAACTACCAGTGTTCAGCATTTTTGCGCGGGCTATGCCTGCTTTATTCATATATGCATCCGCAAGATACTGCATACACGGTACACATGCGGAAAGTCACAAAAACACCCATGCAGCCAGCCCGTTTGCCGGGATTTGAAAGATGGTTCGAACTATCAGTGTTCTGCGATTTTATCGCTCAGCCACTAATTGGCCTTTTTATAAAGTGTAATAGCGAAAATTTTCGGGTATGGTATTTAAATAGTAGATTCGTTATTAAAATTCCTTTTGATAAACTTCAACATAATCACACACTAAATTGCATCAATATATATATTAATATAATTAATAATTCATAATTATTTATGATAAGAAAACTTTCCATATACCATGTCCAATTTACTATTGCTATTTTAAATTTTTCTTTGCTATTTTTCTGTTCTCCTGTAAGTATGCTTACTTGTATTATTTTTATTTTATAATCTCAGCTTCGTATTATAATCTTTAGCTTACTTATAAAGCAGTTCTATGATTAACATTGATTAATTTCATCGGAGAGTTATCATTCATGTGATATTGTAAGCATATTTTTCTCAGTGAAATTGTTTAAATTCTTCAATTTAGAATAGTTATGTAATATTTCTTATCATGCTTTCCTTACTTCTTCACATCTTGTTCATTAATTATACTCCTTGTTTAAGTTAAACCCATGATTTGCACCTATAACAAGCAAAGGATTTCAGTTAAAAGTTTCTTTCCAGTAAGGAAGAATTAGAAAAAAGGGTCACTCCTTTTGAAAATGTTTATTTTACCCTCATGTTATATATGTAGATTTCTTTATTACTGCATAGCTAAATTACATAACGAGAATATACTAGTACATAAATATCGGAATAAAATAAAATAATTTAAATATTTTATATGCATTATTGTGATATGAAATGAAAAGATTTTGTTTTCCAGGAAAATATACAATAAATACCGTATATTTCAGCATACAACATGCACTTTTAATACAAAAAATAAGATTGAAATTTATGGGTGTACATTATATGCCAGATATAAAAATGATTGATTAAAAATAAAGAAAAAAATCAGCATGCAAAAATTAGATTTTTACAAATACCTAAATGCTGTTTATTTAGAAGATATGATCACCTTATGAACATAAATTTTCATTATCAGATAACATGAAAAGTTCGTCTTCTGTTTTATCTTCAGGTGCATCATCGAGTAGTTGTTCTGATCAATAAATAAATAATCATAATCCATTCCATCTTTCACCAACATCAAACATCCTTGCTGCAGCAAGATTTCCATTTTCTTTTGCAAACTGAATGAATGAATTTGCATGTAAAACCAGCATTGTATTGTTTCATTTGGCAAGAGCCATATTTACTGCTAAAAGAAACACTAAGTCAACTGTATTTTAACTAAAGCAAATGCAATTTGCTAAAGCCATTGTTGTTCACTTAAAAATCATGGCTTCAAATGACTGCAGAAAAAGGAAACTTAAGAGTCCTAATTCCATGAATATATTCACATCAGAATTCATTCTTATCCCAAATTCTGTCCCCTTTTGCCAAAATCCTAAAATAAAATTTGTATGCACATCTGCATTGAATACAACCCTAGTGTCTTTGCAGAATTAACTACTCCCACAAGCATTTTCCACCACATGTGTACTGTTCACCTTATCTCTTGTCAGTTCAGTATCTCATTGTTCAAACGTATGGGAAAGTCTTCTAATGAATGACAAAGATAACAGCATTGCACATGTATCTTTCAGGTTTCTTCATATAAAGAAAAGGGTACATGTTATGTAGTGAATAAACTCAAAAATGAATAAATATAGTTTGAAATTATAGATCTGCCTTTATACACCGGTGCACTATTTAGTAATGTTGTCAAGTAGAGATGTTCACTTTTAACCCCTTCACGCTGGGTAGCGCAAACGCGCGCTTATTGCAGAGGCCGGCAGTGTCTTATGCGAGTGTCTGTCCAGAGCCGAGGCCTTTTTTGCTATTAAACCTAAATCCATGAAATTTCCGAAGTATCAACGCATTGTTTAATAATGCTCTGTAGAGTATTTAAACGGCTTATGCTTTATAGATATTTTTATATATACTTTAATTACCTTATTTCTTGTTTAAATGCATATTTTACACATTTTATTTTCATTACTCACCATTTTATGACTTTTAACATTATACATCTGAACACTAAATATATTACTTAAAATTCTCTTTTCGTATGAAAAATTTGAAAACAGGGATCTACACACAGTCCTACGTTACATTCCTTGCACTCGTAATAACTCATTTGCCGTTTTGGAGGATTTTTCCGGGAATGTGAACAAATGAAGCATCGTCGTCTCATTTTCTTATCAGTCTCTTCTGAACAAAGTTTTAGAAAATGTCTTTCAGTTAATCTTTCAGAATCAATATCAGAATTTCAGAATCAATATCTGAAATATTTTGCATCATTTCTGCTATTTCATGCTCTGTTAAACGTTTTCGACGCTTCGACATTGCAACGGTAAAAACAGAAATAATTCACGTCAAACAAGATCTAAATTTTTTCTAAAAACTGAACTGCAAACTGAAATACCCAACGCTTTAGCAAAAATAAAACTTCTCTACTTACAATAAACAACTACCACATGCGAATTTAAAGAGACGTCACAAATCACGCCATTCGGAAACATTTATTTCCCCTTTTGTTTATATAATCAAAAATACGTGTATGTGAGTCATGCTTCTCTCATTTTGAGTAGAAGGTCTAATGTACATGTATCTGAAACCATATGGACATAAAGTGCCATCTTGTGGCAGAAATTATAGTTTTTAAAACGTTCCAGGACACTGGCACAAATACGTGACAGTCGGGGCTGAATGGGAAAATGCTCTGGCCAGCCTGCGTGTCGGTCGAGAAGTGAGTGTGTTCGTTGCTGGCACGTAGATGTGACAGTCGGCGCGAAGGGGTTAAAGATAAAGAAGAGGACACATTCACTAATCGATTTAGTGATTATAATATAAAGATTATGATAATAATGATTTACAATCACCTTTTGCTTAATTGTTATTGAATAATTTCTGTTACTAAGCTATAAAGAATTAAAGGGATAAATATGATCATAAAAATGAATTTGCCTCTGCCAGCCTGCATGTCTTCCCTTTTTGGTAAATATTTTAATGAACAAAAATAGTGCAGGATTATGATTGCCATAAGAAGACAGTGGAATATTTTAATCTTAAATGCATATAGATATAAAAACTTGGCATATAATTATGATGTAATGCATAAATGAACATAGCAAAATTGCATAAAAAAGAACTGGAATGAACTGTGCAGAAGACTGACCTTAAAAAGGGATAAATATCATAACATTCCTAGGTACCATACAAAGAAAGCAAAATATTTTTTCTTATTTGTGCATTTCATGTAAATGATTAAAATCTTTGACAGTTTTTTTTTTTTTCCCTCACAGGTACTCCCTCTCTTGTTCCTAAGCTGTATGAAGTAACTGAAAATCAAATAAAACTACAGGTAAGTTGAAGTAATTTTTGTAAATTACAATATTTTCGTTTTACGTGCATTCCAAATAATTCTGCAATGCACTAAAAAAAATTTATAGTTTACAGCTATCAAAACACAGAAAATATTATTGAATGTCACTTTTACATTTTGTTTCTGTTACTGTTTACTGCCTCTGCCCAGTGCTTAACACAGGAAAACCTGCAAAGCTACTGTCTGGGATTTGCATTTAGGCAGTCTTGGCCATGGTGGCATAGGGAGTTTCCCGTGACCTGTGGGTGTTTGCAAGCAGACACCTGTCCTTGCTTATTGGAGTGGCCCACAGGATGAGGTGTTGTAAGCTCTGTTGTAAGACCCTTGTGGCATCAGGCCTCCCACGTTGTACTGGCAGGTAGCAACTTTCGACAGTCAGTCAAACTTCCAGTTGAATAGATTACACCTCACAAGTAACACCAAGAACAGGGAGTAGTGACCTTTTAGGCCTGGTTCGAAAGTGAGGTAAGGGAGAATTTTTAAGTCCATTCTATGAATCCTCGGCAAAGGTTTTGTAAAAACTCCCAGGTGATTTTTGGCTGGACTACCAACCAACCTTTTCCCAGTATGGGAGTTTTGAGCTGGGACTCCAGTCTGTGTAGTTGCATTCAGTTGCAGAAGCACGTATAAAGTATGTTCACTTCTTACTTATCCCTTGGGGTGTACACACTGACTTTACCATACTATGGCAGTAGTACTCTGAGAGAAAATAATTTTGAGCTTGGTAGTTCCAGAACACTAAGGGAAGATCATTCCATACAGTTGGACTGAGGAGGAATTTGCAAAGAACTTGTGAGAAGGCAGTTAATAATTTTGTACTCTGCTGGGTGGTTGGCCTACCAGAGACTGGTTGTAACCTTTGATGAGAAGAGAAGTAATAACTGTACTCCGTCTGGTGTGGTTGACCCACAGGGAATGGGTCCTAGCCTGCGTAGTATTGGCAGGATCATTTTGCTGACAAGATCTCCAGATCCGATGATTGTTCCCACCACTATGATCTCAGAGCACTGGGGAGTGGTGTCCCTGGCTAACCAGTATAGCAGTGATTCAGAGAATTACTTTTTAAAGTTTACCATCCTGGGATTGGGACCCCCGGGATGGTAGCATCATTGGCATACCTCCTACCTCTCTTTGGGAACTTTGAGTTTTGAATGCCTCTGTATTAGGTGGGAGACCTACCTCCCACCTAACATTAAGGTTCTCAGCCGGGCTGCAGTCCATGTAATGCTTGACATTAGGATAACGGAGCATGTACAATAGTGCTTGACATTGGGATAATGGAGCATGTGCAAAAAAACACATTTACATTACCTTTTACTTTAAATTATGAAATGTTTGCTGATATTTTGTACATGCATTAGTTTTCCATACAAATTAACATGGCAATTTCGAAGTTTCTTTATCTCTCATCCCTTTAATGTAAATTTATTTAATTCAACTTTTTATCTATTAAAGATAGTTCTGTAAAAATTTCAGATATTTAATACAAAATGAAATACTTGATGACTTAAATTATTAAATAAATTAAAATTACTTAAAAATATAATTTCAATAAATAAGAATAGCTGTATAATAAATATCAGTCATTTAATAGTATTTAATATTGTAATTTGAAATTATTTTTTAATTTATAACATTGTATTATCACTGAACTTCGGGGATTTAAAATAACTAAGACAGGTTGTCTTTTTGGATTTATTTAAAAACTTAACATAGGCTTTCTTAGTTAACTAAAAAAGTAACATTGCAGCATTATTACAGATGGAAAAAGACAACAGCTTTCTCGAAGCTTGAACCTGTCTTACTCTGTCAGCATTTGGGACAAAAGCCCTCATTTCTCTTCTCTTACAAGATGAGTAATGGCTACACTGCCATATGCCCTTAATGAATCTTTCTTGGTCACTTTCACAGACCACACAGTAGATACTGGGGTTTGTTCTCAAGAGAACAGGAAGTTCTCTAATGACAATACACACACATGTTGTTTCCCTCCCAGTGGGGCTGTTTTGGAAGTCGAGCAGATCTTTCCTTAATTATAACTCCTAGAAACACATAAAATCAGCCCCACCCTCCCCCCCAAAAAAGATTATAAAACACAAATATTTACACTTTGTGGGGTTAAGTACCAAGGATTAAAAATGAAACTTTACATTGAGGCCAGTGGAAAAAAAAAAAAAAAATTACTAATGACTAAACTTTTCCAGAAAAAATAGAATCTTACAGTTTTTCTGCTAACAAGAATTGTACAATATACCTCTCTTTTTTTTTAAACCTTATATTGATTTATACATTTATCTCAGTTGAAAAGGAAAGCCTTTCGGATATTTATTTATCAGTTTCTGGAAATGTCTTTGCGGAGACCCGAAACTTGATCCTGAATTAGTGCACTTAATGACATCAAAATAATCAGAAACATTTGAATTGACATCAATATAAAAGAAAACTTTCATTAGCAATTTGATTAACATCATCAGTGAAATAAACATAATTATTCCTTTTAGTCATCTCCATGTAAGGCTTTAACATAAATGAAATGGCCAATTGTGAATCTTCCTTTCTTCTGAATATAGTTTGTTTTGGACAACCCACTTCTGAATTTCCCAAGCTTTGTCGAATAGCCCAAGAATTTGACTGGTTTGTACGAGCCCAAAACTGACATAACTAAAATACCTAATAGTAAGAATAAAATATAAAAAATAGTAAGAATTTCTAAAGGAATTTCCACTGCAGTGGAAGGTTTTAATAATGCATTCACCACAGTAACAGAAGTTATGTCTATTACCAGAACAGCATGTTGGGTACTGGAAAGCCAAAAAAAACACAAAGTGTGGCCTTGATATCTTCCCCCCACTAGATGTTAAAAGTTACACATATCTATATTTATTTCCTGAACTCTTTTGGGAATAACGAATAGTTTCTGACCATTTTCCAGGTCTTCCTGGCCTTATAGCAAATAGCAAATAGCAGTCCATTTGCTATTAGATAGTTGTATTCTAAAGAACAACTTTTAGATTTGAACATGCAAGTAAATGGGTGATTTCAAATCATTACCTTCCCTTTGTAAGCAAGAAATTCAAATCATACCTAATGAAAAGAGAGATAGATCATTCATCTCTGTGTTGGGCAAGAATAATGGTGTACCCCCTCGATTCTTTAGGAGAACTAGATTTGCTTTCTGGGAACAGAGTTCCTGTCAAATTAGTAATTGCCTCATTAGCAGGGAATGAAATTTCCTCTGTGGTTGTGCACCTTTGTCTTCACTTCTTTCATTTTTGCACATTTTCAGTTTTGGTGTTGACAGTTTCATGGTTTCTTTGATATCTACCTCGGTTCTCAACAAAAGACTCCTTCATTTTGCTAATTTTTCAGCAGTCGGGTTCCTGAGTAAATATTGTCTGGTGTGTAAATTTTTCAAACAATTGCAGCCTGCAGTTTCATTTTGGTTATTTCGAATTCTCTTTCTTCTCGTTTAATTCTATCCTGCCTCTCTTCCTTTTCGCTTTTAAATTCTCTTTCTCCTCTCCTTATTCTGTCTTGCATCTTTTCCTTTTTACTTCCTTGTACGAAGTAAAAAGGAAATATTGTAATCGCGAAAAGTTTCAGGCAGCATATTTCAACGAAAATATCAATTTTGACTGCAATCGAATGCAATTTAACAATATTTTTGCGTGATATCTTACATAAGGACAGAATAAAATACTCTTTTCCTTCAAAAAAATTATAAATGTAAACGCAACGTATTAATTTTTTTTTAAATGTATTTTCCCGATTGGCAACAACAGTTTTTTTTTTTTTTTTTTTTTTCAGAACGATAATAATTTGAACAGTAATGTTTTTTTAGCAGTAATGTTGACGGTAATGTTTCTGAATAAAGCAAGTATTTAACAATTAATGTTTGACGGAATGTGTTTTTAATAAAGGAACTAATTAAATGCTAACATTTCAGAAGTGGGATAAACTAGAATTATTATCTAGATTTAACAACGTATTGCCTTAACGTATGCTAAGCCTAAACTGAATGTGGAAACTCGCCAAAACTGAAAGTAGAAAGGTACGTGAATGTATAAACTGTTTATGTTATGTCTAAGTATTAAACGGAAAGAACTTAAGTATAATTATTGTATTATTATTTGAAAATTGAAGTCTAAGATGGCTTATTTGGCAAGAGGCAAAAAATGTGATTTAAAAGAACTTGCTTTGGAACTTGATGTAGATGTCCCTTCTGATATTAAAATTGTAGGCTTAAGAGATATGATTTTGAATAGTAAAAATTATAGCGAAGACTTTACTAAACAAATGCTAGATAGAATTATAAATGATCGTTTAGACAGGGAAAAGTTAGAAATTTTAGAAAAAGATAAGCAAAGAGCATTTGAAATGGAAATTATAGAAAAAGATAAGCAAAGAGCATTTGAAATGGAAATTATAGAAAAAGATAAGCAAAGAGCATTTGAAATGGAAATTATAGAAAAAGATAAGCAAAGAGCATTTGAAATGGAAATTATAGAAAGAGATAAGCAAAGAACTTTTGAACTTGAAAAATTGAAAATAGAAGCGGAAATCAGAAGTAGTAATGTAAATGATTCTGTTTCTTCTAATGTTAGTAGAAGTAATATTTGTGATATGAGTAAATTAATGCATAAGTATGATTTGAATGAAGGTGATATAAGTTTTTATTTAGTTTTATTTGAGAGACAGGCACGACGTATTGGGTTAGAAGAACAAAACTGGGTTTCTCAGCTGTTGGGTCTATTGCCTTATGAAATAACTCAATTAATTGCCCGTGAATCAGAAGAGAAAGCTAACGACTATAAGCACGTTAAACAACTGCTACTGAGAAAATTTAAGTTAAGCCCTGAACAGTTTCGGGAAAATTCGTTGATCATATTAAAACGTTGTGTAATACGTGGAAGGACTTCACGTTTGAATTAAAAAATTATTTTGAAGAGTGGCTTGCTGGATTAAATGTAACAGATTTT